GTTGTGCGGCAGTTGACAGTTAATGTGACAGCGTTTTGTGTTTCTCTTATTGTGCCTTGCCGGCTGAAAATAAACCAACAGGCATATTGAATTGCAGTTGCGGTCGGGGTCGGGCTTGATGGGTGGGGTGGTGTTGTACTTGGGGTAAGACCTATAGAGGGGTATGGAATAAGGTTACGGTTGAGCAGAGGGGCGTCTAACCATTTTGTGACCTTTGGCGTGTGCTCAGTGGGTTTTGATATCACCCTAGTTATGGTGGTATTTCTGATGACTTGACTTTTTAGCTTTTTGATAAAACAATTAAGGGTAATGGGGAGTATCTACTTTTAATGATTTCGGATAACAAAGCCACAGATTTAGGTTTCACATAATAACCAACTTTTAACGCCCACCCACAGTGCCTGAAACTCAAGATGATTCATTTAATTCAACTTTTGGCCCAAAGCTCTTAATATTTTTATAGCCATTTATGCAAATTTTTCTTATACATTTATATTTGTTCTTTTTCTGCCCAGGCAAGCTAAATTTATTATCAACCAAAAACGAAGGAAGAACCTTCTGTGTATAAGTAAGCTTATACAAAAAGGTGTTAACAGGCTGAATGATATAATATATACATGCATAATATGTATAACGACAGAGTACCCACTCCCGTTCTCAGGGTCTTGGGGCATAAACCATACGAAAAAGAAAGAGAGGGGGGAGGCGGGCAAATAAGAAAGAGAAGAAAATACAAAGTCTGCATAAAGTTTTATACCATTTTTATCGCTTATTTTATAATTCCCCAGCAAAACTGCAAGGGCGTCTTAAAAAAAAAACAGAGTCAGGGGTTGGGTTGGGTTGGGTTACAGTTTGGGCATTGGATTTTAGCTGGGAGGAAAGGTCTGCTGAAGACGTTGCCGTTGGCTTATGCAAAACGTCGTCGACGATGGCGGCGGCGGCGGCGGCACACAATTTCCGCTTTTTATGCTTATCCTGTAATTCATATTTATAACAGCTATTTCTGTATCGTAATGTGGGTGTGGCTATGTGTGAGTGTGCGAGGGAAAGAAATTTCCTGAGCCGCAGAATCTTTGAAAATTGCATTTTACACAATATATATGTTGCCAGCAAAATAAGAGTGCCTTTGAGATAGATCTCAGAATCCATTATAGATAAGTTTTATTGCTGTTTACTAGCTTATAAATCAAGAAACTTATATGGCATATAAGTAACACGAAACTTCAGCTACTTTACTTGAATTTTATCGAAAAAAAAAACACTCTTAGAAAAAAGATTCAAGTGCACTTCCCTTTCGGCAAAGCTTCAAAAGTGAATCGATCAAAAGTTTCAATTTGAGCAGCAACAAGCCAAAGTCAACAATTTTGTGTTACCAACTTATGACCCTCCTCCTCCTCCCCTCCTAGCTGTCATGTCATTGTTTCAAGAATTCCAAAACACACAAAGTTTCAACATTTTGTTTGTCATATTAACATAAAGTATGATTTTTCAAGGGCCCCGTCAAGTGCGTGAGCCGCACTCTCTGCCTTCGACCTCATAGCCCCCTTCGCGTGCCGCTTTTATTTGTTTATAATTTACTTTATTTTCGTATTTACCGTAGACTCTTTTATTGTTTCAAGTCTACGTGCGATGATGACTTAAGTATGTCGATGTGTCATACTTCTCAAAAGATGAGTGCTGTTTGTGCGGGGGGCAGAAGTAGCTTAGGGCCCTATAAAATAGTTTGACACATTTAGCTTTTCTTGTTAATTTGTATAATACTTGAGGCATTTACCCGTGACACTGGCGTGAAATGTTAAGCAAATAACTTGAATGGCCTGATGATGAATTGCTATTAAGGCTGGGGTAAGAGTTTGGTATTCAAAAAACCCAGAAAGGAAGCTATATCTATAAATATATTCGCCGTAGCAGATCATTCCTTTCTCTCAATCCGCAACTTCACACACCTTTAAAGCTAAAATTAACATTAAAAATATATGCAGAGAAACGATAATAAATCAAATCAAATCATGACAGCTGAGTGTGTTTAGTTCAAAGTGTCTAATTAAATTAGACGCATTTAACAAGCGGCTGTGACTTGATATTGTGCTGAGGCCTAACTAAATGCATTTCAGTTGAGGTTTCATTCCGAACTTGCTCAGCCATGACTACTTCTCTTGTCGTAGTCACTTGTTTTATTTTTATTGCCATACTCAGCTGGCTGTTTGTTTGCCTTGTTAGTGTCGATCTTTTATACACACATTTCTCACAAGGTGTAACATTTTAATTAACACAATACTCATAATTAATACGTATATATTACGTTAGCTTTTGAAAGCTAATTAAGTGTTAAAAATACTTATTTCCCTTGGCTATATACTCTCGAATTTTAGCATGTTCATAAAAAGAGCATTCACAGTAAACATTTTTGATAGGCAAAGTTAAACTAAACTCCAAGTTGACTTGTTTAATTACCCCCCAAAGTTGGCCTCAATTGTCAAATGAATGGGTCAAAGACAGGGTATTAATTCCATTTCGCTACGCACAAGTCAATTGACGTTGTCGTATATATAACAAATGAAATATATCTACGTTTTATGAAGCCATTGTCCAATCGTAAATTTAAACAAGCCCCATATGGCCCATTCTATACGATGGATGGGGTTGGGAAATATTTATAAACTAAATCACAAACAAAACACAGAATGTGCGACACGAATATGCGTAATACCGAAAATCAATACGGAAACTTTATCAACATGATAATAAATTATGACTAATTGTGCTAAAAACGAGACGGAATGGAGTGAGCTTTGTTGCCCCTTCTTGCCCCTCTCGGTTTGTGCCAATAATTAATAAAGTGTTGATGAGGAGTGGGTTTTCTGGAGGGGAAAATCCTGGGTATCTCCACACAAATTCAAATCGAATAAATACGAAAGGGTGTTGGGTATTGGTTGGCTATTAAAATACTCTACATTTATAAATTTGAAGTAAAAATGGGTAGTAAAAGGCACAAAAATCTATAAACTAACTTGTTCTTCAAACATTTTATTAAATATTTTAAAGCAATTTCAATGACAGTATGGGAAGAAAAAAACCCTTTTAAAGTATTTATATTTAATTTTTAGACCATTTGCTAAAAATGTTTTAATTTTCAAAGACACTTCTAAAACTATTTTATCATTTACATACAATATTTTAATGAAGTTTATATTTTTTGCCTTATTTTAACTTAAATGACTTTAAGGTTAAACTCTATAAACCCTTTTACATTCTCCCCTTTATACCCCCAAACTCCTTTTCCATGTCCACACACAGGCACTCTGATTACAGGGCATCCAAAGTACTCTTAAGTACCGATAAGGAATTTTGCCATTTTTACAATAGTATCATAATAATTTATGGCGGCCCATTGAGTGTTATAAAAGCTTCAATATTTTGTAGTTTACGACTTGCGCCAGTTGGGCATAAGCGTAATTACGCTCCCATACATACACATATTTACCAAGTGAACGTCATTATTTCCAATGTGTATGTATGTGTGCCGTAATGTAGTTGTAGTTGTAGCGATGAGTTATGAACGTTCAACTCTCTCGCCTCAGTTTCGGGTTTTCCCTTTCCGCTTCCACTGCTGGCTGCTGGTGCTGGTGCTGGTGCTTCTTCTTCTTCTTCTTCTTTGCCGGCTGGCCATAATTTATGGCATGCGGCGAAATGGATTTTATTGCAAAAACCGTGTTTCGTGTTTATGGCAGAGAACTGTGAGTGGGCAATATTCATTTCGTTTATGTACACTTATAACCACGATCGACTGCAATTTGAGCTTTTGTCGGCACTCGTTCGATACCCCTTTGTACTACTCAATCGGTAATTTTCACTCCTATAGCTCTAAATGCTGATATATACGATCGCTCGATTTATGGTACTACTATACTAAATATAGAAAGTTTAGAAGTGCCCATATATATAGCCATAATACGAAGACCTCAATTGATAAGCAATAAGCATAAAAGTCATCTGAAATTATGGAATAAGGCGTAGTTTTCCCATCATAACTAAGGAGCAGTAAAGACATTTAACAACTTAATATCCTTAATTAAAAACTCAAATTTCCCTTGTTATTAAAAGCCTTTTAACAAATAAAATAACTGGCTTTAATTGATGTCTGATAATATTCTTAAGAAAAGAAAACCACTCAACTCTGGTCCCTGAATAACCCAACTATCTTTAGTACTTACTAAACCCTCCCTCCAAAAACTCAGCCCAATTTGTGGGCCACCACTGCTCACCACTAATCACATAACTTTGGCACTTGTTTATTGCACAATATATCACGAATGGCTAATAATTTCATTAGGCTAATTGCTCATTTGGAAATGGCCATAAAGCCCGATGGACGCTGATTAAATGTTATTAACATTAGTTCTGCATATAATTATAGAAATCGAGTAAGATGGATTCTATTCGCCATTAAAGCAAGTAGATTAAAGATTTTAATTTATGATTAGTTGAATTAGCCAATTCGTGAGCGATTTTGTTTCGGAATATTAGCTATACTTTGTATTTAACCAAAAATATAAACTTGACTGTAAGCCCTTATTTTTTATTGGTGCCCAAAGGACAAATAAACAACCACTCCCAGGGTGTAATTAGATTTACCCAGCACCACATTGCCATATTTATGTATTTCTATATCTTTCAGTTCGACTTTTTTTGGCAAACATTTTAATGGCCTCATAATGCCCTTTTATTTCGCTGTGGGATTATAAATATTTATGGCCCTAGGCCTGTTATTTATGTCACCTAAAATGGAAAGAGGGCATGAAACCGCGTTGCAAGATCGCACCAGTTTTTGGCGAAAGATAAGGATCTGGGGTAGAGTCAGCAAAGAAGTGTTTGCCGAACAAAGTACAGTAGAAAGACAATAAGGACAAGATCTTATCTTAAATTCACAAAACGCACGATATCGTACTGGTACACAAATTTAACCATCGTTTTTTCTTTTGTTTTTTTTTTTTACTCAGCAGCTGGACAACAAAAGCAGTCCGTTGGCGCTATTGGCCCAAACATGCAGCGCCATTGGAGCGGACACCACAAACCCCAAGCTGCTGGCGGCGAACATCGAAAAGTCCACAAAGCAACTTCAGCACCAGCCCAAGGGATCGAATGGAGGCGGAGGAGTAGGATCAGGATCCTATGGCCTGGGCCAGCAGACATCAATGGATGGCAGTGCACGCGATAAATCCTCACCGGTTAGCAGTCATTCATCCAGCGTTAGTACCGGTTCCGTTGAGCAGCAGCAATTGCCCCCCGCCCATGGCGGCAGCATCAGCAGCAAACCCACACCGACAACCTTTAAGCCCTACGAACCGAACAACAACATCAGCCACATAACCACAGCCGCCGATTGCGGCGCCACAAATCTCAGTAGTAGCAGCAACAACAACTCCAGTGGCCAGCAGCGGGTCAAGACCCCCAAATCGACTTCGAACGGCGGCGGCCAACGTTGCGATTCGAACCAAAGTGCCAGTTCGCAGCGAGAATCGCCCACAGCTGCTGGCTCTCTCAGAAGGACTCCCACCTCGGGTTTGGGAGTGGGTGTTGGTCAGCTCAATGGAAGTCCCGGCCTGCCACCAACTGCATCCTCAACGCCTGGGCGCAGCAATTCCAAAGAGTCGGCCGCCATGCATAGTCCAAGTGCAGCGGCAGCAGCTGCGGCGGCTGCTCAAATAGCCAGCTCCAATCGCCTACAGGAGGCCGCCCTGGCCGCCGCCAAGGAGGCCAGTTATGTGAAGGCTCTGCATGCGGCCAGCCAGCAAGGATCTGCCTCGGCAGCGGCAGCTGCGGCATCCTATTATCCACCAGGTGAGTGCAGACTGAATCGCAATTTTACGCACAATGGGATATTTTGAGGGGAAGGAATATTAAGTGTGAATATCAAGAGGGTATCAAGGATACGTTAATATACATTAATATTAACTAACTAAAAAAATGTTTCTTTCCAGGTTATGGTAGCCCCTATTCCATGGACTTAATGGCCGCCAGTTCTCTGATGTCGCCTCACCACGCCATGTTCAAGGCGTCGGCGATGAATCCGTATCTGAACTACGCCCGGATGAAGGGACTGTCGGAGCAGTCAATGATGGCGGCCACACCAAACGTGTGCCGTGATCCCTACTGCACGGGATGTCCGGCCAGTCCGCACTACATCAACAAAGCGGCGGGTCAGCCATGTCCAGCGGGATGTCCGCAGTGCGAAGGAGGCGGTGGTGGCGGTGCCGGTGGAGCAGCCAAATCCAGTAGTTCCCAGGGAGGATCGGGTGGATCCTCGAGTGCAGCAGCAGCGGCGGCGGCGGCAGCTGCCTCCTCATATCACGCCCAGTTGGCCGCTCTGGCCGCCGCCTCCCAGATGCCGTACGTATGCTCGTGGATCGGCAGTGATGCCGCGTATTGTGGCAAGCGATTTGGCACCTCCGACGACCTGTTCCAACATCTGCGCACCCACACAGCCTCCGTGCCGGATGCGGTACTAAGTGCGGCTGCGGCCGGCGGAATACCGCCCAATCATCCACTTTTTCAGCGCACCTATCCCACCCCGCCGCTGAGTCCGCTATCGGCGGCCCGTTATCATCCCTACGGCAAGCCATCGATGCTGCCGCCATCGTTGGCGCCACCCGGCATGCCAGGACTGCCACCACATCCGGCGCTGGCCCAATACTTTGCGCCGTACTCGTTATATGGACCGAGGATGGGATCGTCGCATCCGTAGTAGGCGGCAGATGATCCAGCAAAGGGCAGCTCGGCCTTCAGTCAAACCCATCATCATCATCATTTCTCTTGAGTCGTCGTCGTCGTATCTCTATGTGTTTTTTGGTGTATATGTATGACTCACTCGTGAAACGAAAAGCTAGTGATCTAATGTACTGTAGTTACATACAAATGTGTTTACAATTTAGCTTAAGGAGTCTAGCGTCTAGATATTAATATATCTTAATATCGATGATATATATCTATATATAGTGCAGCACATCAAATATCGCTCGTCCTTGTGTGTCTGTGTGTTTTGTGGTTGCTACTAAAACGCATATGGTAATTTTAATATTATTATTTATTATATTCAAGCGAAACGATTAAAGAATTAACGAAATGAAAAGATTGTCCAAAAACTTAAAGTTGTAAAATTCTTGTAAAATATATAAAGTAACTGCTTATAATTAATTCTATATATATATATATATATATATACCTAAACATAAATGTGTAATTATGAACAATATTTTAATGTTCAATTAAGTCACTACAAAGAAATCAATAAATCAAAGGAAATTAAATACCAAAACAGTTTTCACTTTGTTAATTGAGGTGGGTTGATAGTTAGGGTAATATCTGCAGTCTTTCTTGACTTTTCCAGGGAAAACTGTCGCTAACAGTTTGGCCACCGACCAAACCGTATCGGAAAACCTTTAAGTCATGGCCAAAGGCAAACAAGACGAAAAAAGTATATATATATATGTATATAGTATAGTACGTATCCATTGGCTCACAAATCATAACATTTCGGTTACGTTTGCCGCTAAATTATACCAGTCGAGCTACTGGCTACAGCTACTGCCTCCGCACACACACGAAATGGTAGTAAATCAAATTTTATATTTCCCCAAAAAGAAGTTGAGAAATGGTAGGTGGAACTTAAGGGGCAAGGCGGCGTGTGGCAGTGAGGCAGGCACACAGTTGACTGGCAATAGTTCCTCTGCTCACTGCCCACATATGGCGTCGATAAATTAAAATTTTCGTTTTTGCCATAGATGGCGGTAGAGAGAGAGAGAGAGAGAGAAAGGCGGATAGAGTTATGCCCCTGCATTTTGACAGCTAGCCGCCCTACCTGACAATTTATTGTATTATTCGTAGGGGAGAGGGGACCTTCTGACCTGGCCAGGCCATGGTTCAAACTCCGACTCTGGTCACCAACGCTCTGTTCCTCTATGGGAGTCATAAAAAATATGCCATAAACCTCCCACTGAAACACACACACACACACACATATTGGCGTTGGCATCAATAATTCTTTCATAAATGTCCATTTCGCCACATATAGCCGAGAATCGTTCTGGGCCAAAAAGGGATGTGAGAGGGCACCTGGAATGGGTTTTTTTTCGAGAGGGGGATGGATGGAGCTTATATATAAGTGATGTTCACGTTCAGTGCTTTTGACAAGCCGAGGATGAAGATCTCGCCCTCCTCGCAATACTCTTTTCCGATTCTTGTTTTATTTTGTTTCATACCACATCGCAGGTGAAAGCCACCGCCATCGCGCTGGCCATTATAGTTCCCTCTAGCCGCGACCATTTATCATTGGAGGCAGGTGACCCCGCTCCATGCCATACCTTCTCATTCCATGGCTGTGGAACCCATTCCACCCACCAAAAAACCCATTCGACCAGGCTGGACTTGTCACCCAACATCGCGGAGAAAGAAAGGGAAATGGGGGAAAACTCGGGGATGTGGAGGGATCTGGGTGGGTGGATGAAATTTATTGGTTGGGGATTTTGTGAAAATATTTCTTCTACCGTTTGCAAATTTATTTTTCCTGCAAAATAATGGAGATGAAAAATCGCCAAAAGATACAAAAATATTACAACGCGAAGCAGCAATAAAACCATAAAAAAAAACCGAAAACGAACGAGGAGCTCCGAATAAAATATGACTGTCCTTGTTTTTCTGGATAGTTCGAAGGGGGAGGAGAACGACCAGCATGTAAATTGTTAAGGTAGCCAACCAATTGGAAAAGAAAGCCTCTCGAATGATATATATATATGAAGAATAACATCGAGTGTCCACTGTACAGACAGACACTGTTCGGTGTGATCCTACTTAGTCATTGCCCCACCATCTTGGCGGCCATTAAAATCACCGACTTGTTGGTCTGACTTCACCTGGGCCGTGATAAGTGTTGACTGCATATTTAAAATGCAGACATGCTGGCTTTGTGCGAAAGCAGGTAAAATCGTAATTCACTGAAATTTACGATTGCAGCAGCAGCATGGCAGCCGGGCAAATGAAAGAAAAACAACAGAATGCTAAACGCTAAGGCGGTGGAAAGTTTAAACGAATAAGGAATGCCTTTTCCCTCAGAAATGTATAGTTACTTTAAGTTTAAGGATCAGTGATCTCTTTTAAGTACATATTAAACAACAATTAAGGAACTCATTCTTTATTAATCCTTAGTATTTGCTGTTCCAAGAAGGAATGCCCAACTAACAGCTTAAATCCACAAACAACCAAGCTGCAATAGTGCAGTGGCTTATACCCACAGACCCGCAAAAAGTGTATAAACAAAAGACACCCAAACCCAAAGTGCAGGCCACAACAATAATTTTCAAAACCAAATGACAGCCGACAAAACCATATATCATTGTGCATGGAGGCAACGCCACCGTCTTGTCTGACTTTGCCACCCACGATCTGAACTTTTGTCACTTCAGAGGCGTCGCTGGCTGTCTTAACCAGTGTCTGTCGTCACCTCAAACCGAATTCAAAAAATTTTAATTTCTTCAACAAAATAAAATGAGAAAAGAAGACAAAAAGAAGTTGTACGAGTTTAATAAATTGCCATGCTAGTTGCTGCTTCAAATTGTCGCATGTGTCGCGAGGCATTGCAAGCAAATTGCGCGCACTAAATGTATGTATTTTTCCATTTCGACGGATCGAGGAGTTGGTTGGAAAAGAGACCTCACAGGGGGAAACTATCAACGTCTGATGACATTTCCATAATTAGTCGAGCGTGTCTCGAGTTGGTTGGGCTTTTTGGTCGGGTCGATCCCTGCTGCATGTTGCATGTTTGGACGCTTGTCTTGATTTGATTTGATGGCAAGAGTGAGCTGCACTTTGGAATCGACTCGGGCTGGAGTTGGGTGTGATTGCCACCATGCCACGACCATGATGATCACGATGATGAAGGCCTTTCATATTTATTTATTATGCACACAATTTTGCAGACAGCGTTGTGCATGTCCCTGTCACGTCGTCGTCTCCTTCAGCCAGCCAGCCATCTCCCATGTGCGAATTGACGCCGCATTTATGGTGTTGAAATATTAATGCCGAGAGTTGGTCATGTCATTTTGATTTATGAGTCTCTGGAACACTTTCCTATATACCCTATTGCCGGGGTAATACGGGTCGGGGGTCTCTGGCAGTTGGAGTTTCCAGCATTGAGATGTTGAAAGTACAAGTCGTTATACCTCACATGTGGCAAGGAAGCGAACGACAGACAACTGACAAGTCAAAGTTTGGAATGGTTAAGCCGCATTTTATTTTTATAAATAAATAACTAAGTATTATGTATACAAATTGTTTACATAATGGTCTTGTTTCTTAAGATTCTTTTTTGTTAAATAAGTCTGGAGGATAAAAAATACAAATCTTATTAATTATAGTCTTTCGTGACATAAACATTTGACTTTATGATAATTCCCTCACATTCAAAATTTAATAAATAATATTTTTATATAATCTTTACTTTCCAATTCCCATTAGCCATGACTAAGCAGCAAATACCATCAAAAGCCACCAAATCAGAACCAGAAATCGATGTTGGCCACGTTGATGGCTGACAACCGCTACACAAGAAGAACAAGGCGAAAACAGCTAACCGTTCGTTCTGGCCAGCAAACCAGAAGCCCAAAATGCAGATACCAGAAGAACAGCAACAGCAGCTACTTGTTTGCAAAAAGCTGGAGAAGATCCCTGGACTGAGGTCGCCAAAGCCAACGGCAACTGCATTTTATCTTTAAGTCTTCGGTTTTCTTTCACTCCGGGAACAGGAGAGAAAAATGCGTGGACATTAAATATGCATGAGCGAGAACATTACATATAAATAAATTTAGCAAACAGTTTGTATGCAATGCGCTTGCAAATGCATTTTATCGATGATGATGGTAATGATGATGCCCCTTTCGAAGGTGTTGAAGTTGCAGCCACGTTGCTCACGCAATGTCTGCGATGGGGACTGGGATTGGGACCGGGACTGCTTCTGGGATCGGGACTTGGGGACCGCCATGAAACCGATGCATTTGACAGGCCTTCTGGGAGACAACGCACTAAGAAAGAAATCGGAATGTAAAAATAACAAAGTTAAATAAATTTATCGAAAATATCAACTTAAAAAGGAATAATTTATAAATTCCCTATAAATATTGATATTGATATTTAAGATTGAATAGAAAGAAAAACATTTCAAATGCAAGAATATTTCTCTCAGTGCATACTGACTGGGGAGCCACAAAGCACGAAATACTTTATATCTCGCGGCCTGACATCGATGGCCAATTGGCATCCTATCCCGGCAGAGCCCATTGTGGCGTTGGTCAACATCGTTGGCCATTTTAAATATGAGCACAATGCTGCTGTTGTGCAATCTTGTCGGGAATTTTCGCTGGCAGCTTGACACTCCACGTACTCTGTCGCCGATTCTACTCCGGCCCCCAGCCACCATTCTGCCCTCGGCCCCCTACCAATTCCTTGCCACACACCACCCCACCATCGAGAGACTTCTGTCAGCGGCTGCTGTCGTGTTGCATGTTAATTTCTGTCCGCGTTTTACCGCGAATATATGCCACGATTTTATAGCCACCACTTAGCACGCGCGATTGTCAAAAGAAATTCAAATAATATTTCTCGATCGTGCAGTATTTAAGGATTTTTCTTTTTTAAATTGTAATTGTCAGTCAATCATACCAAATGATTCTCTAATTAATTTTTGTATTGTACTTTGAAAGCTTTGATTGGCGAGGGAACATTACTTGGTTTTGGAATGCAAATGCTTTCATCGAATTGCTTTTGAATGCAAATTTAAAGCATTTCAAGCAGTGCACACGCTTGAGATAATTTACAGAATTTGTTTCACAAATTTACGAATCAAACTGATAGCTACAGCTTACACCCCAACTACAATGAAATTATTTCAGATTATAGTTCAAAAATGTAAATGATCCTAGGATCTCCACCTATATTGCATATTAAAAAGCCAAGCCCATATTCTCCTATATTTACGGTTAAAGACTAGGTCAAAACGAGTACAAGGCCATTATCGATCGATAAGCCGTTGCTATTAGATTAGTTTTTTATTTTGCACGACTATCATTATTGATAGATAGTTACAAAGTTGGTCGCACTTGTTAACGATCGTATGTCATCTACCCAGATCGCTGGCTGGATATATATGAGTACATAAACGTGCATATATATGAGACATGTTATACGACAGACTCTCAACCTTTTAATAATGTGTCGCCACATATTCATATATAGATAATTTCCTCGACCGTTGCTGCTGCTGCTGCTGCTGCTGTGGGCTATAAATTATGGGCTATGGCAGCTTGACTGCTGTTGATTTTTATCAACGTCATCAGCTTAATTGCCTCACTGTGCGAAGTGGCCTGTTACGAGCCGAGTTCACTTGACTTGGCCGCAAAATGTATCTTTAAAATACCCACTGCACGTTACTGATTCGCGATGGATGGTGATAGAAAGAGAGAGAGCGAGAGAGCAGCGTGTAGTACCTGCAATTACTAATGAAATATGGCTGTCAGTAATTATTTGTTATAAATTTGCATAGAAATTGCAATTTGTGCACCGCCGCACCAGCCCCGCCTTCACCGCCAACGAATCGCAGTTCTCTCGCCCAAGTTGGCGGCATTATTAATGACAATGTAAGCCCATGATAAATATCGTTGACACAGTCATTTTAAGCCATATACTTATGCACTTGTTTATACGGCCTGACATCGCCTCTAACTAAGTACTAGTTGAATGTTAATTCCAATATTCCGACCAATGTGCGCCGGTCATAAATGTCATGGCAATGACTTAGGATTGGCCGCCTTATAAATTACACCTAAGTTGCTCTGGATGTTGGGCTACTGGGTTTAGTTTTCAGTAACTACAAATGTTAGTCGTAGGTCAATGTTTTTATAACTTTTTCAAATAACAATAATCAAATTATTACAAAAATTCCCAACTAATCGAGAACTTTAAAACAACACTTATTAAACTAAATTAAAACATTTAAAACTGAACCAATGTGTTAAAGCAACGTTTGTATATACATAGCATACACATTCTCATTCATGGGAAAGCAGGCAGATGCGTTGCAAAATTACGCTTTTAATTAGGATAATCATGGACGAAAATCTGTGGCAACTAATGTGAGCAACAATTTACATTAAACGTGGGCCATTTGTAAACAATTTGTTGTGGCTGTATGGCTGTATGGCTGCTTGGCTGTATGGCTGGGGGATAGAATCGCTTACTAAATTATACATTTAATTATTTTCCATGATTTTTGTTGTTAGAGAACTTTATCGCAGGCGAGTGCAGCCAGAATTCCCGAAGGGACAATACAATAAATGTCTTGTTTGGTCAGTTTTCATAATTGAAATCATGTTTAATCGAGCCTAAGTTATAATATATTCGATTAGCATTTTCGTATAGAACATCAGCATAATTTGGACAGAGAGTGAAATGGGCTGGTAGGAAAACTTGTAATTTTAGGCAACTGACACAGGCACAACCATCAACCAGTGACCATTTAGCCTTGGGTCGGCTAATCGTCTGGAGTAATTTCACAACAAAAACTGCAACTCAACATGCATAATTTAGGTAACAAATGATAACTCGAAGAAATGTGAAGCCATGCATAAATTTTCCTCAGATCTCTCTGTGGCAAGTGGCACAGACTGCAACTGGAACTGCTCAGACAGGTAGACATCAAGCAGACAGACTCCCAGGCCAAGACAGAGGATTTGCAGGCGAAACTGCTTTTGATTTATTACACAAAACAGGGACTGAAGGTGCAGCAGCGGCAGCAGCAGTAGTAGGAGCAGCCTTTCCTTTCCTGCCAGCCAACTTAACTCAACGCAACTCATCAGCAGCTGCAGTCAGCTTTGTCTCTAGCTCATAATTTATTAACAAATGCGAATCGGCCAAGTTGGTAGAGTAGGGCCGGGTCTGGGAAGGACTGTTTGCCTCGGGGGAATAACAGTCGTCCATTTGTATGTTGAGGGGGGGATGAGGCGGTACTGGGAGGTTATGAATGTTTGTAGTTATGCCCTCGATGGCAGGCAGCCTGAATTGATGAGATCATAACGTGTGTTATGACGCCATATATAATTTCTAGCCTTTCCCCATATACAGCTGGCAAAATGAGGAATTGAAAAAGTCAAAATGTCCTGAAAATAAACGATTATTATTGGAAAAAGCCAAGTTGATATCCAAGTACCATTCATGATCAGTAATAAAACATTTCATAAAAACTAATTTAGGAAATTTCAAAATAGTCCATCTACAATTTGTAAAACTGGCATCAATCTACCATGAAATAAATCAATCACAAATGAAATTCCATTGCCAAATTTCAATAGAAAATTCCAACTGGAATTTGTAATACCAATAGAGGTATTTATTCTACTTTCTGTGCTCTATTTTTCTTTTACATGTCATTGTAAATGTTTAATGAATGTCTCTGTGGAAAAAAGCAGTTGGCAAATTTACAGCCAGCTCTTCAACAGCTTGATATTGAACGTTCAAAGGGTAATGCCGACAGCTTTCAGTTTTCCGACCACCCACAAACCAGGCGTCAATTATTCAAATAGAATTGCTAAAATATGTAGACCGTCGTGACGTTTCGAAGCACTCGCCAATTTAATTACAGTTCCATCAAATGCACACACTCGAGGCAAAACCAAAAAATATAAACGAGCATTTCCAAATCCAGACAGGCCATTGAGTTTTTGTGTCGTTTTGGGGGAGCGAGAATGGCCTTTATGTGGGGAACACATTAAAATATGAATAATTTAAGCAGAATTACTCGAGAGTTTTATCTCTGATGTTATGGATTCAAAAACAAATAAGTAGAATATAATAATATATCTTATTGATTTCAAGTTCTAAATTCCAACCTGTCAAAGTTTCATTTACGTAAGTGTAAGCTTAAAACAGTGCTTAGTAATTTGTTTGTTAAATAGATTTGTGATTCAATAAGTACCGCTCATTAAGTCCATTTATCAATTCAGTTAAGGGCATGTTAAGCCCACCACTTACCAATAATAATTATCTTTCTAAGCCTAATGACTAATAACCATATTCGAGTCACACAAAAACACAAAAATTACGCCCCAATGCGAATGCAAAAAGGCAGTCTCGCTGTAGGCGTTGTTACTTGGCCATTACAGTACTTATCTACATAATAATTTAGTGTAGTTTTTAAAAGGCCTTTAGCCAATTGATCTGATAATGAAAATCTTGTTAAACAGTAGGCAGGCACTCTCTATCTCTGGACAAGGCGTTGTTCCCCTGTCGGCTGGTCACAAAACAAACAATAAAATTAAATAATTACAAGTCGTGAGTGAATTTCACGCGAAACCAAATGCTGATGCACACACTCTGATAATGCACCAAAAAAATAAAACAGAAAACAAAAAAAGGAACTACAGAAAGACAAACCCACACAGAGCTGGCTGAATATTCGAAAAATGCGCATCGGATGCCTCTTGACCAATGGATATTGCAAAAAGCCCGCTTTCCGTTTCATATCGATGACAATGTCCCCAAATAAGTGCCAACAACTGAGCCAGATTCAAGAGATGGCAACAACAGCAGCCGCACGAGGAGGAGAAGGAGAGGCTGTGCACCATCGCCATAGCCACGCAGACAAAATCAAACCACGCACGAATACCGCCAGACGATGGCAATGCCAGTGTTCGGCATAAAAGGAGAGTATCCCACTAAATTCCAGGAACATGTTTAAACGATGTCGAGCATTCGGGAAGAAGAGTAATGTTCGCCGGTATACCGACCATGGGTGACAATCTTTTTAGCATAAAATCAAAGTAAGTACTCGATGGATACTTCCAAAATCGGTGACTCGCTGTTCAAGATGATTTGATAAGTGATTCCAGCTATACAACTGCAAAAGATTCTTTTATGTTCCCCTGGGAGTGTAGAAGAATGTCTAGAAGGGGAAGATTTTTAAGATCAATCATGAACACTTCTTTGTATTTTAAAATGTATAAAAAAAAGAAAAACACAAAATAGTAGTATATGAAATCATAAACAGTAAAATCCACAAACAAAGCTAGGTTAGCATCTTTCAACTTTAGCCTTTCCAGGTGTAATATTTCCTAAAAAGAAGTTTAAATTTAAAGTTTAGAACATCATATAATTGCATTATGCAAATTAAGCATTACCTGGTAGTATATTAACAGTATAAAAGCAACAAAAAAGGCAATAGTAGTTGCCCTGTAATTAAGCTAAAGTACATGAATGCGTCGCTGGTGCGTGCGAATTGAAGTCCCCAGGCAAAGGACCCACCGGAACCCAAGAACGCACCCACTTTTGGCCGTGTCAGCTATAAAAGGACACTCCGCATGTCGGGCCAAGCTTAGTTGAATTCCACGCGTCCAGTCTCGTGGACAATGGCCGAGATCAAGGAGGATGAGGAGAAGAAGTTGGGCATCAGCGTTCTGCCTGGCCCGGAGCTATTGGCTCTTCCAGGATTTGATACACGGGCTAGTATTGCCTCAGCTGCCTTGAGTGATGTTCCCAGTGATGTGATCATCAAATCTCGCATACGATATGGTAGTACTCTATCAGCCTGTAAGGGGTTACTCTTGGAGTATGCAAAGAGTACTACCATTCACGGTATTCGATATATCTTCGAGGTGCACCGACCAATCTATGAGAAGTGAGGGTTTACGATATGCACGCCTTGATAACCAACGTAATAACTCGAATATATTTCAGATTATATTGGCTGTTCTTCACATGCATTTCTGTGTACTTTGCCGTGTCACTTATTTGGGATACCTATCTGAAGTGGCAGGACTCGCCTGTCATTCTGGGTTTTGATGAGACTTTGGTGCCGGTGCATAAAATACCATTTCCCACTATAACCATTTGCCCAGAAATCAAAATGGAAAGGAATACCTTTGACTATACGAATGTATCGCGTTTACTTTGGGATGAGTACAAGCAGAATGGTAACATCACTGAATTGGAGGATGAAGAGTTGAGTATTTTGGATTTTGTATCTTGAAAAAAACAATTTCTTAAACTTACCCTTAATATCACATAATTTGAGATTGTTTCATGACTAACTCATATTTCCGAGATAAATTTGACCATTGAAGTTTAATAGACTAATAGACTTCTTATTTAATCCCCAGCCTGGCTCGAATGGCTGCTGCCATGCACATTTGTGATCCGGATGTGGTGCAGCGGTTCTCGCCATTGCTATCGCAACTGCATCCGCCGGATGTGGACGTAACGCAGACACTGATTGATTTGAGTATCTCGAAGAACGAGACGGGTCCATTTTGTAAGTGGAATGGACGGTTCTACTTCTGCGACAAGATATTCGACTTTGTGGCCACCGATGAGGGTATTTGCTATCAATTCAACGGCCTGCGACCCAAGGATATCTATCGCGACGAGAACTTCATCAGCTATGTTGACCCGGATGTGGTGAACTTCAACAACTACTTTGATGTGGATCTGCCGCGCTGGAATAATATAACTGGAAATTGGTCACTGGGCACTGGGTTTGTGGACCAGGGTCAGAATGCGTATCCCCAAAGGACGGTGTTCTCATCGGCGAAGAATGGGTTCTTCGCCTTCTTGCAGGGTCTGCAGCACAATTTCGACTACGATTGTCGTAGTTTCAAACAGGGCTATAAGGTGGGTGTGTGTGTTTTCTGTGAATAACTGGGTGTGGATCTGTGCGAAGCTAATGTGTAATTTGACAGGTCTTTCTCAACTCCCCGGAGAGTGTGCCACTGACGTCGGGCAATTATATCCTGGTACCCCATGGCGATGAGGTTCTGGTCAGTGTGTTGCCCGCCTATGTCGTGTCCACCGACAATTTGCACGAAATTACCCCAGACAAGTGAGTTTGTGAGGTGTTCCAAAGTAGTGACATTTTCCTATACAAATAACTTTATTTAGACGACAATGCCTGTTCGATGACGAGCGGTCCCTGCGATTCTTCCGATCTTATTCTCAGAGCAATTGCCAAACCGAATGCCTGGCCAACTTCACGATTGCCAAGTGCGGTTGTGCTAAGTTCTGGATGCCAAGTGAGTGGTCTTTAGACTTTATAAAACTTTGATATTAATTAATTTTTATGGCCAGAACCTGTGGGCACTCCTGTCTGTGGATTGAGTGACATCAACTGCTATACATCCGCCCAGGATGAGCTCTATGCCCTGTTGCAAAACCAAACTATGGCCAAGAGTGTGGATGGCAGTGTGGAAATCACCTGCAACTGCTTGCCGGCCTGTACTTCGCTTGAGTACAACTTTGAGATCTCTAGAGCCAAATACGATGTGGCCAAAACCATTCGGGCCTTCCGCGAAGTATATGAGCATACAGAGTGAGTATAGAGAATGTTTCTAATATTCATTTTTAATGATTTCCTATTTTTATATTTAACTTTTCAGTGCCATTGGATCGCGTCTCTCTGTCTACTTCAAGGAGCATCAATTTACAGCCATTAAACGAACGATTCTTTTTGGAGTCTCCACACTGATTTCCAACTGCGGTGGCATCTGCGGCTTGTTTATGGGCATCTCGTGTCTCAGCTTCCTGGAGCTGATCTACTTCTTCTGCATGAGGATCTGTGGCAGTTGCCGGGATAGGCGGAAGCACAAGATACAACAGCAAAACTCCATGGATCTACCAGAGGATATCTCCGAGAATGATCTTAAAGATCAGTAAATGCAATTTCCAAAAAACACTTAACCTTTGTGAATGTAAAACTAACACATTTTAAATAAATCAATTGCAATGATATCGTTTTTACTGCAACTTAAAGAAGTTAAACAGGAACATAAAGTTGTCTTACATAAAGATATTTCACACTCTCAATGACACATAATGAGGCCACTTTGCAAGCTAGTATGCCAGGTAATTTAATTGATTACAAATTAAAAATGCATTCGATTAGCACACGGTCAAAGCAATTGCTTTGCTCTAATTAATTGATTGCCACACTCTAGCAAAACACTGAAACTAATTAAATTACCTAACCCAAGGCATAAATAAGTAACCATTTAAGTTGTCTCTGAAGGAATTTCGTCGATCTTTTCGATCATATTTCATAGATGTCAAGACCCCGAAAAAATGTATATTTAAATTTAATCTGTTCGCACCAAATGTCAGATCTAATGGATTTTGTCACTGGCCACAAATCATAAAAGAATATTAAAAACTTCAGCGTTTTCAGCATTATTAATAAGCCACGACAATAAAAAATGTGTTCGCTATTTCGCTTTGATCTTTTCCTTAGGTCGTGTGGCTGTCTCAAAAAAAAAAAGAATGAAGGGGAAACGATGGAGATTTATCGCAGACAAATATTTTGCCTTCAAGTCAAGTCACCCGAGAATCTGCATTATGCGTATGGGTTAAGTCTCTAAATTCAGATGTCTGTCAAAATTTGTTTACTTTTAAGAATTATGAAAGTTATTGTAGAGAAAAAATCCAAAAATATTTTATATTTTATGAAGAATATTTTTTGGATGACAAATTGTTGGCACAGCTGTTTGTGTTCGAGATAAGAGGATGGATTTTAGTTAATGACCCTCAAACCCATTCGCTTAAATTGTTTACGGCCTCTGGGCTGGTGACGAAAATAAATTCCTATCGGAACATATACAAAAATTATGTTAGCATAAATCAACTGCAGTCTTAGCTAATAGATTGCCTTGATTTTTGCAACATACTTAGCTATTTTGGAGGCAAAATTTATCTCAAGACCTGAAATATACTGTGGATGTGGGTAGTTTTTCATTTTGAAAATAAATTTTGCAAAGCAGAAAGAAACAAGGGATTAAGAGCTATCTATTCCTAACCAAAAGACTTTCCTTCAAGGAATTTAACATAGCCTTTTAACATGACAAATACACAAACATTAGTTAAATAATATCTCAAGAAGAACCATAAATCAAGTAGAATAAACATATTGTGTTTTCATCGGCCAAACAGATCGTTGGGATACCAACAAAAAATATTAAAAAAAAGCGTCTTATAGACTAAGAAACAATAACATAGAATACAATCGTAAAGCTCATAAATAAATCGCACAAACTACAACGTACTCAGAACGTAGGAAAGATATGAATGTGAAACGAAAAATACAAATTAGAAAAACAAATAAATAAAAATCTTAAGCTATGCCCGCCAGCTAGCTAGCCAGCCAACCGAAGTCGAAGGCATTTTAAAAAGTATTTTCAAATTAATTTTTATTAGCAGGCGGCTAATAAACAAAAATAAAACCAACTCAAGCGCACCATGGCTCCTAGATATATATATATAGAGTCGAGTATATATATAAATCTAGCTGGGAGAGCGGAGAAAACAAATATTTTTATTAGCATGTCGCGACATATTTCAAGGCACATGCCTAGAATAATGCAGCCAGTCGTCACTGTTTAAACAAATTCATTTGGAAAATATGTATTCCTCGCCATCTCACACTTTGTGTGTCTTTCAATTTAATTTATTAATCGTGCGTGTTCATCCGCACTACATTTGTGGGCGGCTAATGGCTGTGGCATCGTCTTGGCTCATTTCAGATCTGTCGTCTTGAAACACCAAATTTCTCAGATATTCCGCTCTTTTTCCCCTTTTCTTTTTCTGAAGATTACTCAATGAGCAAATAAATTGAGGTGCATATCCATTAAGATGGGTGAGTCATAATATTTTTAAACATTTTATTAACTATTTAAATTTATACTTAACTTTTTGTGTTCCCATAACAAAAACATTAAAAATTTAATCGCTGTAATTAAAACAGGATCTGCTCTCAATTTACAACTTTAACTGCACTCCTAACAAGCTTTTGCCATATTAATCGCATTCATTTTTTTAATTTTCAAATTAACCGAATAAATATGTTTCAGCCTTCAAATTCATGTTATTTATGAACGCAATCAGTTGCAAACCAAATCAAGTGGCAATTAACAAAAAAAGAGGTATATAAAATAACATAAAATTATTAAACAATTTTCATTAATCGATGCCAGTAATGTAATTACGATATACACAAAACCCACGACTAAAACAATAATAATAAAAACCGACAATTAATTGTGACACAATTTTTTATGGCATTGCGTGTTGACAGATTTATGTTCATTTGCAAAAGAATATTTGTCCGTTGATGTTTTTTGCTTAAAAAATGTTTGACATATATACAGCTTACATTACGTAATAGTAAACCTATTTTTTCCACTCCACAAAAGGCGATTAATTTTACGCCCAACTACATTATCATTTAAGTGTGAATACAAATTTATTAATAAAGATAAGAGATATTTAATACCAATTTATAAACGCGATTTCTTTCAAATTCAATTAAACAATTCCTCATTAACAGCCATTGACAGGCCTCTCCAAATTAGCGATTGTTTTCGAGTATTTGCATATTTGAAGATATAACAAAAAAACTCGAGTAAAATAAGCTTCACATTTTAATAATTTAATGCGCATTTATTTTACACCGCGGCACATTAATATATGTCAAACTCGTGCATAAATCAGTTTGACAGCTATACGCTGCCGTTGAGAGGCAGAGACGACGATAGAAAGACAGTTAGGGAAACAGGGTTAAGAGAGAGTTGTATGAAATAAACGTGGGGAAAATTATAATAAAAATATTTTAAAATATCATACAGATAGTAAAAGTGTACTACTGCCGAATTATATGAACTTTGTTTTTATTTCTATATTAAAATGTTTCGCCATTTCTGGAAAATGGGATATGAGGCGTAAACGTAATATCTAAAATCTAAAGAGTTACATCAAACAAAAGTTAAATGTTATTGAGAGAACTTAATTTCTTCATTTTTCTTATCAAGGGTATCATTTTTGATTACCATATTCATTATTTCGTTACCTACTTTGCAAACAAAGTCCACAGAACGTAACCGTCTGTCATTCGTACCCTCGACTGCCTCGGCACTCGAGACTGTCTGTCAAATGCTGCGATTGATTGATTTATGAATGCATTTAACTTGCTTTTCTGATTTTTTATTTTTCCCTCAGCAGATAAGCAATAAATGTATTTATGTAGCTAAGAAATGTTCAAAAATAACTTAGAGACAACGCATAAATAACATTTTGCATACAACTTCCGGTTTACAAAAGTTCTCAAAGAAGTGGGAAATAAATCAATCTATCGACCTTGAAGGTGTTTCTTTTTTGTTCAATTATGTTAATTGGTCTTAACATATTTGGGCGGCATTATCAAGTATTTCTCTAACAGACATGAATTAGCAAATGATTGGTTTTGAATCTAAAAGTTTATTGGGTGTAGTTCTACACAAGAAGGAATTAAAGATATTTCTATTCCAATAAAGTAAAATATTCTTAAATGAATATAAGAAAAATATAAACTAAATCTTATTCATATTTTACTTATTATTATTCTTTCAGCTTTTCCATTTTTAAATTAATTACAAAAATCATTATTCAAAGATCATCATTTCTTCCTAGTACATTGCAAAGAGTATCAAAGTGTATAGCTCAAATCTTGAAAATTATTCGACTTTGGCTTGGGGGCTCAGCACTTAATCATAATCAACTGTCGCGAAACTTCCAAGCCTACCAATCTGGCGACCTACCTACCTACCCACATTACTAACTGTTATTTCCAGCGGGCCAGCTTGCTGTGCGACTCCATTGGACTCCCATGAGCCAGCCGAAAAGATGAAAACAAAAAATATAAAAAATATATACTATAAAGAAAAAACAACCAAAATGGAGAGCTGGGCACATAAATCAAAAACGTTGACGCTATGATTATGGCAGCAGCATGGCGAGCGATAGGTTTTTTAGAGGCCTCCTAAAGAACAGCCGCAGTCGGAGTTGAGAAAGAAAAATCGTGCGCAGAGGTGTTACAGCTCTGACAGTTATTCTATAAATTATGACAACTGACAGCTACATTTATAAGCCACAACTCTTGCATTTGTGCATAAATAAAATCGTTGACACATGGCCAGCAAGAACAACAAGAACAGCTAAAAGCTGACAATAATAAGAACAAATGTCTGCCGATTGAGGTCCCAGCTAATTAATTTGACCGCATTAAAAATTTATGCAAAGCAATTAACTTAAATATGGCGATGGTCAGCAAGAGATAAGCAAGGGAAATTCTCAAGCAGCAATCTTGGTTAGGAAAATGAATTAATTTGCTATATGGAAACAGGAGGTAAAGTTTAAACTGTTGTCGGGCTTGTCTTATCGGAGTTATCTATATAATTAGCATATATAGCCATTTGGTTGGCCCTCAAGTTGGCCATTAAAGTCGTAGTAGTGCTGCAATCATGTTGGCAAATAACTTTACATCAATAGCTGGCCAATTCAGGTTAAGTGCTTGCTTATACAAGAAGAGTGATATATAATTTTCAAGATATATAAGCTAAAGATTAAGAAAAACACATTTAGGGAATGTTATTAGTTCAGTATCAAGATTGAACAAAAATATTTATAATGGGTTTGTAGCTAATATATATTTTTAAAAATTTTTTTAATTATAATTATAACTGATATGATAAGCAAATTTCCAAGATCGAGAATATTAACACTTTTGACAGTTATATAGACAACATAATACGCAACTTTTCAAAATACCCGACATGTTTGGTCTGACCTTATACTCTGCTCAATCAGTGACAAATAATAATGCCGTAAACAAATTTACAAATTCGATTCATTAAGACTGAAACTATATAATGAGCTGGCAAACAAAGATATGGCATTTACATATCCATAGGCAAAAGAGGTGACAAA